GTAACATTTGCTTGTCTGAAATCTTCAATAACGATTTTAAGACTTCTAAAGCTTTTTCAGATGACTTGAGCAAGGTTGACCAGTGGGGGTTCAATGACTGAGCTGGGAATTGAACCCTGGTCTCCAGAGTCCTAATCCAACACTCAAACCATTATGCCACACTGGTGTCCCAGTTTTATATCTGCAAAATGATTGAAGGTATGTAACTATCAACTGACTAATGTCCTCCCCCTGCCCACAGTAATGCTAAGTAATACCTGTTGGCATTCTGTTTCTTGAAAAGTTTTATGTGTTCAGGCTCCAAGTTCTCCTACTGAAAGACAAAGCAGTAATGAGTGTGAGAAGAGAGAGAAAAATTGGCATGATCTTCCCAGCCTTGGGAAAGTAAACTTGTTGGATCACTTAGATGTTTGTGTGCAATTTATATTTTATGACTAGAGACTAGACAAGATCTTTATCAGTCAGGGATGGTTCAGGAATAATTTAGTAATGGTGCTATAATGGATAGCATTTACATGACCCTGCAGAGAATCTGACCAAAAAAGAATGACCATCATTCCCAGCTAATAATTTTACATTTCTTCTGCTTTGTATACTGGAATAGGAAAATTTGGCAGTAACTAGCTACAAATATAACTAGTTAAATGTAATTAATGGCTTTTCTATTGTAATTTAGGTTAATTCTAATTTCACAAGGGACAATTTAAGCCCTATTGTGGAGTAAGAGTTAATTATTTTTATGATTGTAGGGTGAAGCTACACCAAGTAGTACAGGAGGACTATCTCTTGGATCTAGTGCTGGCTTATGCTGTTCCCCATGTACTGTTTGTTATAGAATAACATCCAAACAATGATACCATTATTGGGCCAACCAAAATACACACTATATACATCTTGCAACATGTATATTGTGCATTTTGGTTGTCCCAATAAAGGTATAATTGTTTGGATGTTATTAGATTTGCTATATGGCCAACACGGCTACCCCTGGAGGCTTTATAGCAGGGTTAGGCAACTTTTTTCGGACCTGGGCCGGTCCCCCGAAGTCCTTGCCTCCGCTGGGCTGAGGGGAGGGGAAATGGTGGCGCACGCACTCACGCGCGCGCGTGCACCCCCGCCACTGCACGCAACCCCCCCGTGCGCTGTCGCCGCCGCCGCCACTGCTGCTGCAGTGCACACGGCCGCCGCCGTGCATGTTGCGGCCGCCATTTTTATTTCCAAAATGTGCATGCGCATGCGCAAATGCATCGCGACCACCATTTTGAAAATCAAAATGGCGGCCATGGCGCGCGCAGCCGTATGGATGAGAAAACGTGTGGTGGCGGCGGCAGTGGCGGCGGCAGTGGCGGCAGGGGTCTGCTTGGGCCGGTAAATCCAGAGACCTGGGTCGGAACCGGCCTGGGGGCCATAGGTTGCCGGCCCCTGCTTTATAGAGTTAGAGCAGGGGTAGGCAACCTTTTTGAGCCGGGGGCCGGGTTGTTGT